TATGTGTAACATTTTTTTTATATTGACGCTCAATTGTTTTAAAGTAGGGGGTGCTATCTTTCCAGACTTTACGGTAATCAACGATTTTATTGTTTTCTCCAAAAGGAAATCATATCATCCACTATCCTTCAAATGGTCAAAATCAGAGTTTTCATATCCAGATCACCCACTATCTATCTCAAATGGTCAAAATCCGAAAAAAAAATTAATTCGACACGAACAATCAAAAAAATTTTGCACATATTATTTTTGTTTATCGATCATTTTTTTTTAAATTGACAACGTTTTTGAACCCCGTCTCGTGACCAGAAAATATCACTAACACGTTGTGTGACAAGCCTTTGACGATCCGAGGTAAAGGTCACGAGACAAGACCATCAGTTTTTGGTCATTTTGAACGGTCCGAAACGTCGGAACAAGACGAAGACCCAACGGTAGACAGCGGTCGACACCATGCAAAAAACATCTAAAGAGAAACATGATTTCCTTTCAGTCAAATATCTGTTTCGCTCAACCCTAACGTTTTGAAACAGGATTATGATGTGATTTATATATCAATATATATTTTAAAAAATGACAACTTAAAGCGGTGAGTGGTGTAGAAGATTACTTGCTTTAAAAATCACAGTATATGATCAAAGAATAAGCTTCATTCAAACATCAAAAGTCATTTACAAATTTCGATTGTTTTAAAAAAAATCAACTAAGCTTTTTTTTCTTAATCAATCGATGTATTTGATTTGTTTTTCCCGAAAGGAAATTTTTTCATTAATCAATGATTTTATTTGTTTTCTCAAAAGGAAATCAGATCATTCACTATTCTTCAAATGGTCAAAATCAAAGTTTTTTCTTATCTGGATCACCCACTACCTATCTCTCTCAAATGGTCAAAATCCAAAAAAAAATTTTAATTCAACACGAACAATCAAAAAAAATTTGCACATATTATTTTGTTTATCGATCATTTTTTTTTAAATTGACAACGAAATAAAACGTTTTTGAACCCCGGTCTCGTGACCAGAAAATATCACTAACACGTTGTGCAACAAGCCTTTGACGATCTGAGGTAAAAGTTCCAAGACAAGACCATCAATTTTTGGTCATTTTGAACGGTCCAAAACGTCGGAGCAAGACGAAGACCTAACGGTAGACAGCGGTTGACACCACGCAAAAAAACATCTAAAGCGAAACATGATTTCCTTTCAGTCAAATATCTGTTTCGCTCAACCCTAACGTTTTGAAACAGGATTATGATGTGATTTATATATCAATATATATTTTAAAAAATGACAACTTAAAGCGGTGAGTGGTGTAGAAGATTACTTGCTTTAAAAATCACAGTATATGATCATGCAATTTCATGTTGATTAACCTAGATTCAAATCATGAGAGTTGAAGAAAATAATGATTCTTTGACATTTTTGAAATGGCTTACTATACACTGTTAAAGTTTTAATTGATGATCTGTCTATGAATCAGTAAACTCTAAATAAGGGTTGGCAGAAGAAAGATATCACACATTTCACTGATTGATGGCTTTGTATAAAAAAATGATGCTATACTTTAGTACTAAAATAATATATTTTTATTTATACATTTTTCAAGAATATCGAAAAAAAAGGGATTATTTTGGAATAAAAGTTCTATCATTATTTGATATAATTGAATACTAAAAATTAATTATGAATAGTTGGAATAATTTGAATAATATAGAAACTCAATTAAAAATAATTATACACTCATTTTGTTGTTATTATAAAACTATTTTAAAACTTCGAAATAATATCAAAACTCCAAAACCTTAAAAAAGCACTATAAGTGCTTTATGTGAGAAAAGGTGCAATTAGATTTTTTTCAAAAACAAACCGAAAATAAATACCTAACCCCTAGTAAATACTTAAATTTTATCACGTGATGGGATGTTGGAGATCGTCAATTAAGTTGTTGTAGATTATAGATTTTCAGAACAACCAAATGTTTGAAGTGCGTTCGTGAGTCAAGTGAAACATATATTTAATCAAAAATCTCATTTGGTGTTAATAATTAAAATTGACAAACTTGTAATAAAAATAAAGTACAAAAATAGCAGAAAGGTATTATATATTATATTGTTGTTGTAGCATGCGGTGTTGATGCCATCGCGCACATTTACAAAATGTATACGTACCATTCTGTTTGTTAATTTGTTTCCTCCGATAATAACTTCTTGTATTCTTCCTTGGATTTTTTATAAATTACTAATTTAATTAATATTTAATAATTATTTTTATGAATATTTATATATCAATTTATTAACTAAAATTTTTTTTTTAAACTTTACCTTTCATTTTTGATTTATCATTATAAACATTTTCTATTTTTTCATTGTAATAAATAAATATATTTTCTAAACAGATATAAATCGAATCACTAATTAAAATTATTTGTCTTTCCAAACATTTTGTGAAACATTCGTCGTCCAATGGTTTATTTTTACAACCTTCGTAATCATATACACTGAGAATAAATCCTAGTAGTAGTTAATAAAATTATTAATTAATAATTGAGCAAAATAAAAAAATCAACCTTAATTCCATAAATTCATCATTTATATAAATCGGTAGTTTATCATTAATTAATGTTTGACTAAAATCATTGTCAATAATTCGATGAAATTTATTAAAGAAATCCTGTTGTTTTTGGTTATTATATGAATTTGTTGAGAATAAATTAAGATACTCAATAAAGTTATTTAGAGTAAATTCATCATCATTAATAATCATTACGCATTGTTTATCAATCGAAGCATTTAAAGTATTTTCTAATCTTTTTTCAAACCTCAACTTACTAGTATAACATCAATGTTTAATTAATATAGAAGCCATATATATATGTATATATGTATATTTAATAAATAAATTTTTACATACAATTTACTCAAGAAAATACCCTTCAATTTATCATCATAGCTATTATTATTAAGGCGCCTTAATATTTTAGCAAACATATATAACAAGTAATTCCCTGTAGCATAGAAATAATCCAATTTCCCTTTCTTATCAGCCGAATCATGTACAGATTTTAAAAATACCGCCAACTCAGTTACTGACATAAAATATTCAGAAAAAACCTTTTCACAATATTTTCTTTTTCTATCACCATCACGGTCGTTAAAAGAAGATTTAGAAAAAATTTTCAAATTTACAAATTTGCTCCAATTATTTTCCAAAAAATCATTTATTTCTAAAAGTCTATTATCAAGATCCATTAATAATTTATTATCATTATTATTAGATTCTATACTACTATTTACATTGTCATTAACTCTGTTGGGCAATTTCTCAAATGGAAAATCTAAATTATAAAGATATTTATTGCCAATCAATTTACTATCTAGTTCTACTCTTCTTTTAATCATATAATAAATAACATTTGATCCTATTAAATTCGATTCAAATTGTGTAAGCTTTGAAATTAGATCTTCATCGGCATCAGCTACAGATGACGACGACGACGATATTTGAGATGCGTCATTTAGTATTGTTGTGACTTCACAATTTACTAGATTTGTTGTATCCATTTTTTAGTTTAGAATAGTATTTAAAATAATGCAATAATATTTTATTATTATTATTATTATTATTATTATTATTATTATTATTATTATTATTATTATTATTATTGTATGTATATATACATAAATAATACAAAAAAACAATAATTATATCAATCATTATATT